GAGTGGATTGTAGTAGTGCTTACTCTCTGAGGAGAGAGCAGTTTTTCTGAGTAGTGCAGACAGGCAGGCCCCAAAGAGATGACAGACTCACTGGCTAAATACACCAAAAAGTGTTGGTGACATGGCAAAGTGTGTACTTAGTTTTTGTTCTCTATGTAAGAAGAGAATCATAAAGCTGAGATTTTTACACACATATGTATACACGTATAAATGTATTGTATGATCAGAGATTTAAAAATATGTATCCCCTTTATTTCAGCTTCATACTATTTTTAAAACCTCAATTTCAAAATCCAGAAGTTACAAGTCTTTCTTTATACGTTCCAAGGGGTATTTTATCTTGTGGAAAGAAATGTAATAAAAGGTGCTTTATTGTAAAATCACTTTACCATATAGGCCAATAATTGTAGGTTGTATAAATTGTTTTTATTATTATATAATGAAATAACTAAGGAGAAGATTAGTGACATTTTAACTGTCCTTATCCAAGTCTTTAAACATCTTATGCTTTGAAAAGTCTGTTTTGAAGTGTATTATTTGAATGGTGATGATGGTTACATTTCTCGAGAGGAAATATTTGACATGTTGAGGAACAGTCTACACCAGCAGTTATCTGAGGAAGAGACTGATGAAGGAATAAAAGAATTGGTAGAGATGACGCTGAGGAAAATGGTAAGAATGAAATACTGTAATTCATTATAACCAAGCAAGTAGATATTGGATAAAGCTAAGATGAAGAAATTATTTCCCTCCATAATAAATGCAGCCTTTATGAGGGCAGGAGTTTTTGTTTGTTTTCTGCTCTGACCATTGCCTGGAATAGTGTCTGGCTGATAGTGGGTGCTCAGAAAATATTTGTGGAATTGCTGGGTGATTAAATGAATCACTATTCCAAATGAATGTTAATTTTCTCATTTTGAAATATTTTAATATTAGTAAAACCTTACTAATTGTGGGAAAGACAGCAGGTTTAATGTGTATTAAATTGGGTGCTATTTTAGTCTGTCTTCATGACCTTAGCCTTTCAATTCTTCCAAATATTCAATATAATAGAATAACATAATAATAAAAGGTTTTTTAAACAGAGTGCTTGCTATATGCCAGGCCCTTCACAGAACTTTAATATATGAATTCATTTTATCCTCAAAACAATCCTGTAAAGTAGAAATTATCTCTATTTGGCAGATGAGAAAACTGAAGTACAGATGGGTTTACTCAAGGTCACACTAGAAAATTGGGTGCAGAATTCAATGAAACCAATAATATCCATTTCTAATGGACATAGTAATTTCTCTCCTTTTCTTACTATGACCCTCCACCGGATACCGGTGAATATTTGTGGCCCTAAGATTTGTGGGCTTGGCTAACCCATGACTCTGGAGTTCAGGAAAGAAACATGATGTGGACTGCCGCGTCTCAGACTCAGCTAACACAGGTCCAGAGTATCCCCTTCCACTGGAAGTGCTCACTCGACCCTGCCAGGGCTCAGGGAAGACTTCTCGAGAGACAGTATGTTCCCTCATACCAAAACCACCCTCTTCTTTTTTGAAAGGAAATGTTACAGAGTGGACCTTTTCAGACAATTATTCAAACCTTTCTCTAGATTAGACTTTCAGCAGCCCTGATTTAGTTATACCCTGACATGCGGAAAGAAAAAAACACACACCAAAGACCCATAAGATCAAATCCAAATTCACTGAAGCAGTTAAAGGCATACATAACCCACACACATGCTATCCCCATGATTTACTTAATCACCCATAGTCCCCGTCACCAATGCTCCACTTGAGGCAGGTCCCTCTTCTCCTGACTTACTGTCATAATTCAGGTTGGGCCATTCTGCACTTCCTCCACACACTTCCCCACCTCTCTAGATCCCAACTATCCCTAAAGGCCTAGCAGTGGTCTGCATGACTCTAGTCCATCTTGGGCTGTGAGTGCTCTAACTCCCAGTGCCTCAGTCCTTATCTGAGCAACTCCACTTTTATCCTTTTTACATGATGAGCTCCCAAGTAAGAGATCCTTTCAGGAACAAGTTCTAGTACTAAAAATTAAGCTTGAGAATTTTTGCCCTGTGGTCCTTATTTTATCACAAAAATAGCTGTACAATATGGGCTTCCTCTCTAGGATTATGACAACGATGGCAAGATCTCTTTTGCCGACTTTGAAAAAGCAGTGAAAGAAGAGAGACTTTTGATGGAGGTGTTTGGACAATGTTTACCAGAAGCAAAGGTACAGTGCCAACAGCCCAAAAAGGTTGAGGGGACATTTTAACGGATCTGAAAATAACACTGGTTGGACACTCACCTCTTTAGGGCTTCACCTCACTGCTACACCTCACAAAATACCACGTGCGGGCACACACGTACAGTGCGATTGAAACTTCGTGGCCCATGCGCAGAAGTCAGTATTTTGTGGAAGAGCCACACTCAAGGGGCCAAAGAGCCGCATGTGGCTCGTGAGCCACAGTTTGCCAAGCTGCAGTTTGCTGACCACTGGTCTAGACAACCATGAAGGGCTCAGCCCATCCTAGTGCTTTGGGAATCAAGACAGTAGTGACTGTTTAAGTAATTCTATTCAACAGACTTTTCTTTTGGGCTTCAACTGTATACAAGTCCTGATTTCTTGTATGTTAATATTTCCCCAAAGAAAACCAAGGTATATTGGGCTTGCTTAAGGGATAGAACAGTGAATAAAGAATGGGTTCAGCAAGAACTGCTAGGAGAAAACTTGATGTCTTTCAACCCAAATGTTGTCAATGAGAATAAATTAAATTTTAAAAAATTTGAACACATATATAGTATTTTGTGGTCATAAGGTTTATTTTCATGTTTGGATTTGACAAAAGTTTTCTGAGCTAGAAGAGCCAGCCTAATAATTTATTTGATTCATTAACATTTTAATTCTGCCTCTGATCAACTCTGCTTTGCAAACATGACATAAGAAAACACTTCTTTTTTGAAGAAACTTTTTATTCTGTGGTAATTTAGATGATTTTGTGAATGAACTTGAATAAGCTATCCTTAGCCATCCTAGCTCATCTCTCTTAATTTGTCCCAATGTAGTTTATTCCTTTTTTAAAAAATCCTCACCTACGGATATGTTTAGTGATTGTAGAGGGAGGGATGGAGGGAGAGAGAGGAGAGAAAGAAACATCAATCTGGGTATCAAACCCAAAACCTAGGTATGTGCCCTGACCAGAAATCGAACCTACAACCTTTTAGGTCTACAGGACAATACTCCAACCAACTGAGCCACCTGACCAGGGATATTCCCACATCTTGTCTGGAAATATGTGGTAAAATGCAATATGTGAAAGGCAGACTTCTCGTTTTAAGGAACTGATGGGTGAAACAGTGCAGAATAATGGACTGGGTTGTAGCTACTTATATCTGATGGAATACCAACAGTTCTGGAGTTGTTCCCAGAGACTTCATCTGTAGCCCAGTTATCTAGAGCCTTGCTACTCAGTGTAGTCTGTGCACCAGCTCAATAGTATCACCTAGGGACTTATGAGAAATGCAGAATCTCAGACTCCACCCTAAATTAACTGAATCAGAATCTTCTTTTGGTGCCTGACACAAGAAAGGTTTCTTTCTCTCATGATCAAATAGTATATTGTTGGCAGGGTTGGGGAGGAGTGCTGGCCTCCACACACATATCAGGAATCCATTCAAGAACAAAGAACCCACTTAGCAGCTCCTCCCTTTAGGACTGTCAGACTGTGTGTGTGTGTGTGTGTGTGTGTGTGTGTGTGTGTGTGTGTGTGTGTGTGTGTTAAAATACACCTACCATAAACTTTACCATCCACATCAATTTTAAGTATTCAGGTTCAGTAAAGTACATTCACGCTGCTGTACAAGCAATCTCCAGAACTCTTTTCATCTTGCAAAACTGAAACTCTGTGTCCGTTAAACAATTCCCCATTCCTGCCCCCACCAGCTCCTGACCACCACCATCAGAATTACAGTAAGACTCTGAAGTGGAGGTTCATAACACCTTCAAGTCCTAGACAGCACTGTATTCTTCCTAATTCTATGGTCAGGTCTCTAATACATCTTTTACCTGAATTCTGCAAAAGTAATATATCTAATTGCCTTACGAGGAACTAGGGCCAACCCCCTTGCCTGCAGCTTCTATTAAGACCATCTAGCCCTACCCAGTTCGGCTCAGTGTATAGAGCATCAGCTTGCAGACTCAAGGGTCCCAGGTTTGATTCTGGTCAAGGGCACATGCCTCCAGGTTGTGGGCTCGAGCCCCAGTAGGGGGTGTGCAGGAGGCAGCCAATCAATGATTCTCATTGATGTTTCTCCCTTCCACTCTAAAATCAATAATAAAAAAAAAAAAATAAATAAATATATATATATATATATATATATATATATATATATATATGGACCATCTACCACCTAGTGCCCTCCTAACAAGTCTGGATCAGTAAGTCATATCTGAAGATGAGCCTTCTTAACTGATATGTTCAAATTCAATCCATAAGGCCAGAACAAAAGTATGGATGGAGTGTTTGTGTGAACTAATATAAATTCAAAGTAAACATCATTACATAAAAGGGTACGGTCTTTTTTTTTTTTTTAAGTTTTATTCATTTCAAACGGGCCGGATCCGGCCCGCGGGCCATAGTTTGCCCACGGCTGGGCCAGACCCTTAAGGATAGGGAGGAACGAAAAAGAGATGCCATTTGGTATGGGCCTTCTCCAGTATTTTTATCAGTAAAAATATGAAAACAGCCTGTACATAATTGGATTCCCATTATGTAGTCTACTAACAGGGGAAAAAAAAGTGAGTGTGCTATAAAAGTAGTGGTAGAAGTCACTAATTTACAAATTCTAATTTGCTTCTGCCATAGATCAAATAAATTCATCTGATACGTTAACTAAAGCATGTAAGCTTCTAATTTCAGCTTTGTTCTAATAGTTTATTAACTTTTTTACTTTACAGATTTGTCTTGATTTTGAAGCCCTGGCATTCAAACACATCCTGGATTCTGTCTAGTTTTTTAATGTGAATCACTCAGTACTTGCATTAAAATAAAAAACAGATCCTGGTTGCCTATCTTTATTTCCTTCAGTTAATTCACACAGAGTTACTGCAATGTGAAAGGTAACATTGTAAGAACAGTTTCTGTAATAGTAAGTTTGGATCAAAATAACATCTATAATAGGTAATAATAAGCAAATTTATTTAAGTTAGTCCACCACCTTGGATCTTGTAGCATCAAGTCAGGCATTCCCAACCCTCTTTTCTCTTGCTTCCTTAACCATAGAAACCTAAAGCATTCACTATTCCAGACTCCTCAGGAATAGTCATGGGCCCAGTTCTAGCCAATAAGATGTAACTAAAGTCACTGGATGGCGTTTCTAGGAAAGTTTTTATTAAGGGAAACAGTTGGCTGGCAAGTATTTTGTCCACAATAAACTAATTTTAAAAGGTGAAACTAAATTAAACAAGTAGCTTGAAAGAAATTACAAAGAGGAGTGCATTCAAAAAAATAGCAGCAGTAAAATCTCTTCAAAAATTAAAACGACAGGCTAAAAATAAATACATATTAATTTGCTACTAGTAATCTTATATTCTTCTTCTTTGTTTTAATGGATGACTTGTATGCACATCTTCCAGCTTGTCCTCTGGAGGCTTTGGCACAGTTGTAATCACCTAGTTTTAGAGAAGAGAACCAGAAAAACTTAATTTTTATAGTAAAAGAATAAATAAACTATCAGAAGACATAATATATTCAATAGTTTAATCCTTGCTATCATGTTTGAAGCAGAGCTAAGCCAAGTTCAAGGTACAGCCTACAATCTAGGCACAGAGCAGTTTTCTGTCCAAACACTGATGGGAGTAAACAATTTTTTAAATTTAAATTCTTTATTATTTAAAGTATTACATGAGTCTCCTTTTTCCCCCTTTGACCTCTCCCTGGCTGCTCCCACCCACCCCCCTCCCAGCACATGCCCTCACTCCCCTACTGTCTGTGTCCATTGGTTATGCTCATATGCATGCATACAAGTCCTTTGGTTGATCTCTTACCCCATCACCTCCCACCTTTATTTTTAAAGCCATTTAACAAGAAGAAATTTTTGAGGGAGAGAAGTAAACAGGCTCTACTAACATTCCTTTGTAGATCTGAAGTCCCTTGTTATTTTATGGGTACAGATAGATATCCTGCTTGCATACAACTTGAAACACTGATAATGTCTGATATACTTAGAGACATGGCGGTTGGGGCAGGGGTGAAAAATTTAAAGAAATAATCAGAAAATGTTACAATCCTCAATTGTTTAGGGAAAATGAAATCAAATGCATCATGAAAAAAGGAGACGATAAGTTACAGCAGAGTAAGACAGTCTTCACTTAAACTGGGAAATTATTTGAAACCATAGTAAATTATACTTAGTATTTCTCCTCCTTATTGTTCTACTGTTTCCATACCTAGGATTCAGACCTAACATATTTTTCTTGAAAATACAGTCAGCTCTGGCTGAGACAGCTCTATCTGTATCCATGCCTTAGTTCAGCTGTCTGTGAAGAAAGGAAGGGTTGCCAGCACAAACTAAAAAATTTAAAAGAGGCTTAAGCATAAAAACTGTGTCCATAGATTTTTATTACTACAAAACACCCCTTATCCTTAATCAGATAATAATTTCCAGGTAAAAAATGTACATAAAATAAGCTACCTTGCCCCTCCTTAATCACATTATAAAACATGGCTTTCTGTTTCTTTTGTTAAAGATTTTTTATTGATTTTTAGAGAGAGGAAAGGAAAGGGAGGGGGAGAGAGAAAAACACTGAGTTTCGGTCGGCTGCCTCCTGCCCCTGCTGGAGATCAAGCCCCCAACCCAGGAATGTACCCTGACGGGTAATCGAACCAGCAACCTTTCAGTGCACAGGATGACACCCAACCGAGCCACACCAGCAGGGCTAGTATTCTGTTTCTTGTTTAAGGTAAGGATTAATGGTATCAAAGCAAATGGTATTTGTTAGTAAAATTCAGTAAATTCAGTAAACACATCAAAAACTAAAAAATGAAAATAGTAAATGATACTATAGTTCTCATAAATAATTCTCCATTTAGGGTTAGTCCTAGAACCAAATCATCTCTTAGGAGACTTCTTTAAATGATCTTACCTCTTTAAGTTTATTCCGAATTAAATTCGCTGTTGTATTCAAGGAGTCATCATGCATATCCACTTTGGGTATGTCTGGTAACAGAGGCCCAATCAGCACCTCATTACTGCTAGTGCTTGTTTCAAGAAAAGGTCCAAGTTTACGATCATCTTCTCTTCTTCTCTTCCGCTCCTGCAGTTGTGTCGTCCTAGGCATAAATCTGTCAACGGCCTCTGAAGGAGTAAAAGCCTTCTGAGCACCAGGGCAGGCCACTGGAGTTTTTAAAGTTTTCATCTGCACTTTCTGCAAAGAGTCACTGTGGTTACAATGCCCCACTGTTTCATCACGGTTTCTCCCATACTGAGAGGAGCTTGATGCTCTGTTCTCGTACTCTCCTGATGAACACATACATGTTGAGGAGAAATAACACAAAGGCAATTCACAAGAATAAGGAAGACAAGGATCTGAGTTCCCAGCAGAAGTGTTCAGCGCAGCTTCACAAAATCCAGATTTCTTTGAGTGGAAGTCCTGTCTAAAATCTTTTGTGTCTTTATACTCTGTAACCAGTTTCTTCTTTGTCATGAAATAATCTTTATATTACAATTTAAAAGGTGAGAGAAAGGGAAACAGAAATAGTTAATCTGTTTTCATCATTCAGAAAAGTGTAATTCTAAAAACAAACATTGCTTTAAAATAACAAATGTTACCCTTACAATTTTATTTCTTGGGCAGGCAATACATTCATGTGGTTTAAAAGCTAAAAAGGATAAAGATATAATAGCGTCACGCTACACTTTCTTTGCTCCCTGTATGCCTGGTTTCCACCCCCCATAAGTAATCACTATTCTTACTTTCTTATTAATCTGTCCAGTATGTCTTCCTTCCACCTATGGGTATTCCTCCTGTAATACCCATTTCTCTGCACCTTTTTGTTTTCCAGTTAACTGTAGATTTTGGAGAGTTTTTCCATGTCATTACATACAAAGCTGCTTTTTTGTTTTTTACAGTACGAGTGTATATGCTGCTTAGTTTGTGTTAGTTTTTATAGGAAGCAATATGCTGGGCCCATATTTAGTAATTTCCTTTGCCCCCCACACATATAAGTTTGTACGGAGCTATTTATTTATACATCCTACAGGTTAAAGTTCAGTGTCTACAGGGACTCTCAACAGTTGTATACCCAAATTTTCAGGTAAGGTTTTCAAGAGTCTCCCCACTTATTTCTCTCTTCACTATTGCCACATGCCCATTCCCCAATCAGCCACAAACTCACCATATTCAATAGCTTTATGGACATTGACTTTTACCCAAAGGGTGAAAATTTTGTAATTTAAGCCTCTGGTAGCATTCAGATTTCAGACTACACATGCTATCTTAATCTAATTCTGACTGTTCTAGTCCTACAACCCACGTACCAGATCTCATGACTCCATTCCAGGCATCTGGAATTTGTGTCTAGGGAAACTCAGTTGGGCATATGAGGCACCTGGCCAACTGTTGGTCAAAAGTAAAACTTTCCCACTTTTAGCAGTTTTAGATTAGCCAATGGGAACTGGTCTGTGAATCCTGTTTCTCACTTCAAGTCAAAGCTTTAATTCCTTCGCATGGGACACAAGGCCCTTTACGAAGCCCCTGTGTGGTTATCCTGTACTATTCACAGTTCCTCAGAATGCACGATGCTCCTTTGTTCCTTTAAACATGCTATCTGGCTCGCCTTTCCATTTCTTCCTCAACTTCTGAATAATGTCCACTTATCCTTCAAAACTCAGCCCCCTTCTCATCCTGTAGGAATTCTCCCACAAATCAACATCTCTTTCTTCCCCTCCCAGATTACGTTGAGTGCTACAAAGAATCATGTTACAGTTGTTGAATACTGTGATCATTTACTTGCCCTTCTTCCCACTAGACTGAGAGCTCCATAAAGGTATACTTAGCAGAATGCCTGACACATAGCTGTTTAGTCACAGGCTTTCCATACCTTTATTTTTAGTAGCTCTTGCTATATAAGCCTTCCTCTCTTGTAATTTTTTTCTAGTTTCTTCAACTGTCTCAAATTCCGGAGCATAGCACACATGAAGCAATCCACCAAAGAAACTCTGTTCATCCATTTTCCTCTTGGCTATCCTAAACAAAAATACATGATAGCATGGTTTATTAATCTAGATTTACTTAGGATAAACCTTGACTAGTACACAATGTATAGATCTAAAGAGCAAAGTCCAGCTTTTGCTATGTGTGTGTACATCCTATGGTTTGGGAATTAAGTAATTTGCTTATGGATAGAATTGACCTTCTTGATCTAGTGCATACTCTACTAGTAAGAGCCTTTCCTCCCCTCTCCCAACATTGTTAATGGGGTTTGAGCTAAGTCATCCACACATATCTAGACTCCCTTTAACCAACTTAGAATCCAGCTGGTTAGCCTAAGGCACACAATCCATTGCCATAAAATAGAGATTTTTCTCTGTGTGGAGTTAAATGGCCCTTGAGAATTAGCTTATACCCAATTTAGCATTTTCAGCACAATGTGTTCCTATATAAAAAATTAATAAAAATACTGTAACTGTAAAATTTTTAATAATTGAGGAAATACTAAATATATAACAACTAATCAATGAGAGGATGGTATCATTCAACAAATACTTATTAAATATCTATAACTGGTCAGGCATTATAATAAATATTGAAGTACTTCTGTGATCAGGGATAATAAGAAATACTTATTGAGATTTTACCACATGCCAGGCAGTGTCCTTGAGTGCTTCACTTGAATTAACATTTCACAACAATCCTATGATGAATGTAAGGCCTGGGGAGATTTAGAACTTGGCCATGTTTACTCTGGAGAGAGGAGCTAGGATTCAAATCCAGATGCCGAACTCCAAGGCCAATTGTACTAGGTAGGTGCTGTGGGAAATGCAAAGACTCTAGAAAATAGCTTCCCTAATGATGAGGAGCTGGCAAGTTGGTTAGGAAAGTGAGACTGCATTTAAGAGCTACCTGAGAATAACACCTGACCCCATAAAATAAGTGCTTTATGGCAACAAGTGCTATTTGTGGCACAGAAAAGAAAATATGAATTGTAATAACCAGGGAAGGATGGGTCTTGGAACAAATCAGTAGGAGGGAGGGTTTACACAAAAATAGGTAAGGCATTTTACATTTCAGCCTTTTTGGAACTGAGTTTATGTTACATAGAAAGCTGGAAGAGATGGTGTTAATTCACATAGGTGCACAACAGTAAGAACCTCAATAACTAATGTTTACTGCATTCTGAACAGGAGGCGTTATGCTAAGCCCTTTACATGGATTACCTCATCTCAGCCTCACACAACGTCAGTAAGCAGGTCCTTTTATCAGATGGATTTTATAGAACAAGCGAAACAGGCTTACTAGGGTTTAATAACTTGTCCAAGATCATGATGTTAGTAAGCAAGGGAATTGGAAAACTTACTCTAAACCTAATTTTTAATCTATCACCCTACAAGACAAAGTGTTAAACATGAGACTGATGTGATAGAAAGTGTTTTTAGAAAGGCAAACGTTTAAAAAGACTGGAGGAAGACAAGAACAACCATGTTGTTATTGGGTAATTCAGGTATGAATGTGGGAAACCTGGGGCCTGTGGGGGCAGTAGGACAGTGCTTAACTTGCACATTACCTTGCACTTTGTAAATTCATAAATTTAATAAGATAAACTTCTGTAAATTCTTCTGCTGGGTATTCATCTAGAGCATTATACTGTTCAATTGCACCATATAGAGCAAATCGTTCAACTAATTCCTTCATCGCTCCCACTGCAGGAACTCCTTGTATTAATAAGTACCGAGATTCCAAATTAATAGTATATACCTAAAAGAAACGCAAACAAGTTAAATGTATCTCATAAGTAAGTCTAAGACAAATCTGCTTTTTTAAAAAATGTCCAAAAGCTTTAAAAACAAGAAATGTTTTTCAACCAGTTTGCAGAAAACAGAAAATCAAAAACTTTGCCCTTCTCTCTGTTGAAGAGCTCACTCCACGTGAATTCGCCCGACTAAAGCCTCACACAGACTACCTTCGATTGGTAGATTTTGCAGAAATGGGCTGGGTACAGCTACTGGAAAGAGTTAAATATTCAGAGTGCTTCCGATGTGCCAAGGAGAGCCGTAAACACGGAAGATACAATGATTAAAACAAAGACTCGTTTCCGCAGAGCGGACGCCCTCGCAGTGACCAAAGGGGTCGTGGGAACCTCTGGTAGCGGATGCCCAGGATTCCTCACACCCACCTGCAAGGAGATGGGTCCGACCGAGGCCTCGCAAGCCTTCACTCACACAGGCTGGGCGCGTGGGGCTAGAGTTCACATAAAACTACTGAGGGTAGCAAATGAAACAAAAACCACTTTACCCGCACGGCACGAGGCCGTCGCCCCTCCCGGTACTTGGCCCGCGTGTCGCAAGCAGCCCTTTGGACATGATGGTCGAACAAGCCACCCAGCTCCCCGCCGCCCGACGCCATCTTGCCGGCTTTGGCTCTCACAGAAACGACAATATCCGCCGGCTGCACTCCCGTTTAGCCAATAAGAGAGAGGGATGGGTCAAGGCGTGCCGGGATTGGCCGGAGAATCGACAGCGTTGGCCGTCGTTTCCTACAAAAGAGGACTTGTGGACTGGGTGCCGCCCCCCAGCGGCGCGGCGGAGAGGCCAGGAAGGAGGCAGGAGGCTGGCTTGCCCCGCCCCTACGCACGTTGAGACGCGCCGCAGGAAGGGGGCGTGGCCGCGTGAAATGGACAAGGGGGCGGGGCCGCGGGAAGGGGAAAAGGGGGCGGGGCCGCGGGGAGGGGCGGGGCCGATCGTTGTTATCCCGCTCCTAAGCCCGGGCCTGCGGGCTCGTCCGGAGTCGGTGTGGGTGGGCGGCGGGGGTGTCCTGTTTGGCAGACGATGTGGGGCAGCGAACGCCTGGTGGGTGCGGGTGGGGCGGCCGTGACTGTGGCCTTCACCAACGCTCGCGACTGCTTCCTCCATTTGCCGGGGCGCCTCGTGTCCCAGCTGCACCTGCTGCAGGTAACGCGCCGGCCTGGGACCGGGCTCCCACCCGGAGGCTGGACACCTGGTCGGTAGTCAGGGGTCGGGCGGGCCGAGCTTTCCAGGGACGCGGTGGCTTTCGGGCCTCCCCCGGCGGCGGGCCCGGGGCTGCTTTCCCTGCGCCGCTGAGCAGGCCAGACCGAGGGCCCGTCGAGGGCAGGGCCGGAGCGGAGGGGTTGCCCGTCTGGTGCATCCCGGGTTTAAGTTCACTGGCCTTATTCCAGCGCCTTTCAGTCGGTGAAACTGGGCTCACTACTTTATGCTCTGTTTCTGCGTTCACATACTACTCCAGGTTGGAAAGCTCTTGAGAAGTCGTTTCTTTTGTTGTTTGTTTTTTAAAAACCTTTTCCCGCCTGAGATTTCCAGGTGCCTGCGCGGCTGTGGTGCGGGCCCGGCGGGAGGGCGGGACGCTTGGTTTGTTTGCTGCGTCCGGCGGTTGAGCGGCGGGCGGGAGGGCGGGGGTCGCGCGAGGGAGGCTCGGCCCTGGCCGCCGCGCTCGGACCCCCTCGGAGGCGGGCCGGGAACGGCGGGGGTTATGCCGCCTGGGACGTGTGTCCTTAACAGTATTTGAACCACGGCTGTCACTTGCCTTTTTAGAGGCTGTGGTTGTGATTCGTGGCTCTGACCACTGGCAGAGATACCGCGTCCTACTTTCCTAACTGAAAACAGGCACCTGGCCTACGAGTTGGAGTGTTTATGGGGCGAAAGGCTGGTAGATGGGCAGGCTTGCCTTCCTGGTTCCAGAAGGTGCGGCAATTAGACGACTTTGGCAATGGAGCCAGTGGTACTCTTGTGCTGGTGGAGGGTCTGGCTTTTAATTTGTAGAAGCTGCCAACATCTGTGAGGCGCAATTAAGCGAAGCCCAATAGAAGGAGATACACCTGTGTTTGAAATCCTTGCGAACCCTGGTTGTGTGGTAGCCGCCACTGGCTAATCCATGCAGGAAATGTGTTAAGATTTTGCAATAATTTCAAAAATGATTTCCACTTGCGCTTCTTCTCGGTATCTGTTTTTCCAAAATAGCAATTTTCAACCCATGTACCGCAAGAATTTTTAAAACATGCAATACCTGACTATGAAGGCAGGGGCACTGACCTCTTTTCCCTTAAGATTGTCAAGTTAAAAGATGACAACAGCCAACACAACAATAGCCATCCAGTGTGAATGAATCAAAATCATATCTATTTTTTTGGCACATCAGCAAAAATTATATTTTTTGGTGTGCTGCAGAATTTTAGTAATTAGTTTATGTGTACGATGAGATGAAAAAGGCTGAAAATCTCAGTTCTAGATTATTCCCCCCCCCCCCCCACCATCTTCAAAGCATAGCAAATTCGGCAGATCCTTCCGTTATTTCTTTTCCCATAAAGCAGGCGATCTTTTGTCCCTGACAAGCTTCATTCCTGGCTGGAGACTAGTCACTATCGCCAAATCCTGCCCTGTGCTCTGTCAGCTTTGACGATTTTCAGCCTTCCAGTTCCCACCCGAGTTTAAAATAACAGGCCCCCTCCACCTAATGAGATTATAGGACTGCTCTCTTATAGTAACTGATAACTTGATCCCAGTGTGAATGCCATGTCATGGGCACTATTGGCACTTGATGCTGGATAATTTGTTGTGGGTTCTGTCCCGGGTATTGGAAGATACTTAGCAGCATCGCCGGCCTCTATCCATTAGGGGCCGGTGGTACTCCTCCTCCCAGTGATGGCAAACAAAAATGTCTCCAGACATTGCCATATGTCTCCTGGGGGACAAAGTCACCCCCAGTTGAGAACAACTGCTTTAACTCAGTTTTCTGTGTTCTGGGCTCAATACTTGCTGTGATTCCTGAAATAGGGGAGAGAATTTATATCCACACTGAATACAAACAAATGAACCTAAGTCACCTTCCAGAAGCGGCCAGGTACAGATTTGTCATTTCTTTTGTGTTAGCCAGAAATAACCTGGCTGATCCTAAGGCATTGCAACCAATGGTTTCACCTGGAGGTTTGGCCAAAAGCTGGCAGTCGATGGTATGTTGATTAGATTAAACTGGAAAAGGGGCTCCTTTCT